CCGCGCTGCGGAGGGACAGGGGCATGTCAGGGGCTGCCACCAGGAAAGGGCAGCCCGGAGCTGGCTCCTGCCCTGGGCAGGCCTGGAGAGCCTGAGGCCCCAGGTGACGCTCGGAGTCACTGGGCAGGCAGGGGCAGGAGCTCACCCAGCCCGGAGAGGGTTTGCGGGAAAGGCTGGGCTTCCTTCTCCCTGCTCCTCCCTGGCTCCCCACTGCTGGCGGAGGCTGTGCACATGCAGAGGGTCGGCCCAGCCCACCCACTGGGTCGCAGCTGGGCCGCCCTGCCCGCCCTCCCAGAGCTCCATCAGAGCGCTCCTTGTCAGCCTTCATCTCCCTTTTCCTTCAGCCCGGGAGGCAGGGAAAGGGCAGGCCTTGAGAAGTGAGGTGCAGGGCGCTGGGCTCAGGGGTTGCAGGGAGCCACGCGTGGGAAGTGTCCCTCCTTCCTCACCCTTGGGCAAACAGACCCCAGGGAGACAGCACTGGCAGGTCAGTGCCCCAGCCGTGCTGTCTAATTTCAAACCCAGATTGTCAAAAATAACGCCCCCGCACCCACTTCCTTCCTGCAATGTCTAAATAAAGGCCTTGGGGATTTTGAGAAGCCTGTGAGTGTGTGGTGGGGCGGGGGTGCAGAAAGGTGGTTCTCGGGGATGGGCGTGTGCCTGGACGGCAGAGCCTGTGGGGTGGCCAGGCACCTGCAGCCTCAGCCCACCCCGCCGGGCCCCAGGACAAAGCGCTCTGTGGGGGAGAAGGAAGCCCAAGGCCCTCGGAGGCCTGGGTCACATGGAGGGAAGAGGACGGAGCAGGTTCCCATTTCCCAGGTCCCTGCCTGACAGGAGCTACGGAACCATTTTTTGAAGGTTTCAAGTACTCTAGACACAGCAGTGGGGTCTCATTTAACCCTCGTGACAACCCTGCGAGACCCGGAATTTACAGACGAGGGCTCTGAGGGTCAGAGGAGTTAAGTCGTGGGTCCAAGACCACATGGCTGAGAAGTGAAGGAGCTGGACCTAAAACAGGCACCCTCTGTGGGGGGCCTGCGCTTTCTGCCTCCCTCCCCCCACGCCCCCCCACCCCCGGCCAGGCCAGCTAGGCAGGCTGGTCGTGGGACCCCCGCTCCCCCTTGCTGCCCCCACACCTCTGCTGCAGCAGGAACAGGGTCCTGTGCACATGCCCCTCCCAAAGACATGGCCACCCTAGCAGAGCCCAGCAGGGAGATGGGGGTGGGGGAGCAGGCTGCACCGCTGCAGGAGTGCAGGGGGAGGCGAAGAGCAGAGGAAGACGCCCAAGTCCCTCAGGGCCACGTGTGGAGAGCCACGCGGTCCAGAGAGCAGGTCCTGGGGCATAGGACCACGAGGGGAGTGGGGCAGCCAGGGCCGGGCTACTGCGAGTGCTGCGAGCTGGCGGGTGGCCGAGCTGGTCGCTGGGTCTCAGTTTCCTTGCCCGGATGTGTCAGGGCCAGGCGGGAGAGCACAGCCAGGAGGTCTCTGACGAACACACCCGGGCCACGAGGGAGCCCAGAGAGGCCGGGTGATGGGAGGGCTCGGACTAGCTCGTGGGCAGTGCCACCGCTGGGCCAGGCACTTGGCATCATTTACTGCTCAGCCGCCTCTGCGTTTTAGGTCTGTACCGCAGGGCGCGTGCACTCGCGAGAGGGAGATGGGAAGGTGAGCAACCAGCCCCGGGGGACGGCCACGCTGCCTCCCGTCCCCATTCTTCTCGCGGGATTTGGGGATGCACACACGTGGCTGGCGTGACTCAAGCCACCAAGGCCTGCACCGCGGTCACCGTGTGGGAGGCCAGCCTTAGCCACCGTGCCGCTGCTGGCCTCAGCTGTGCTGCTGTCTCACCTGCAGTGCACGATGATCGGCCCGGGGCGGGGCAGGCTCTCCTGCCGCTGGTTGATCTGGTCCAGGAAGCTGAGCACACCTCCGGGCTCGCTGGGGACCCCGTGGTCGGGCCAGCTCAGATACTGGTAGTGCCAGATCTCCCGAACCAAGTCCCCCTGGGCCGAGGACAGAGGGTCAGTGCCCCCTGCTCCCAGGGAACACCCCGTGCTGCCCTGTCGCACCCACGTCTGAGGAGGAGCTCCAGGCGTGCGGCGGGGTGGGGCCACTCACGTTGTCCAGCGGGGAGACCAGTAGGGTGCGGAGCTTGTACTCGGCCGTGTCGTGCTCTTCGCAGTTGGTCACGGCATAGAGTCCATACACACGCTGCGTGCCCACCTCTGGCCAGTACGGGACACATTTGTTCTGCAAAGGCGAGGTGGGGGTGAGCCCAGAGGCGGGGCTCCGGAGCCTCGCCTAGGCCCTGGCCGACGTCCTGCCACCGTGATGGCCCACACATTGCTGGGTAAATGGACGAGCAGGCTGAGAGGCAGGAGGGTGGGGGCCTGATTTCGGGGCAGCCACCAGCAG